TAGCTCTTTCAGTCTATTCATATCCATCTCAGTCTGTTCATATCTATCTGTGTGTCTATTTCAGTATCTATCTATCTATCTATTCATCTATCTAGCTAGCTAGCTAGCTAGCCCTTTCAGTCTATTCATATCTATCTCAGTCTGTTCATATATATCTGTGTGTCTATTTCAGTATCTATCTATCTATCTATCTATCTATCTATCTATCTATCTATCTATCTATCTATCTATCTCAGTATGTTAATATCTGTCTACCAATCTATCTATCTATCTCAATATGTTCATATCTATCTATCTATCTATCTATCTATCTATCTATCTATCTATCTATCTATCTATTTCAGCCTGTTCATATCTATCTCAGTCTGTTCATATCTATCTGTCCGTGTGTCTATTTCAGTATCTATCTATCTATCTATTCATCTATCTATCTATCTATCTATCTATCTATCTATCTTAGTCTATTCATATGTATTTATCTACATGGTGACCGCAACACTATATTTAAAAAAATAATAATGATAATGTTTCGTCGACTGAATCGAGTCAACTTAAGACTCAAAACGACCGATTGTGAAGTGTGGAAAGAAGCAAAGAAGCCAAATTAGTGAAAGTGAATCAGAATGGCGCTTCACTTCTGCAAAATTTTGTGCGTCATTCAGAAAAACTGAAATAACAGAAATTATGTAAATGACTGTTTTCCCGTGAACCATTCTCCGGTTAAGTTGTTTTCATCGCTTGCTACTCTGGCACAATGGCTGTGATTTTTGTAAAAGTGGTACTGATAATGATGATGATGATGATATTTCTCAAAGGGGGGTGGGGGATAATCTTGATGTTACTAGACAAACACAGTGGATGTGACGAAAATGTACCGGGCCAAGGACGATTTGCATGGCGCTCACATGTCGGTTGAACGACAGTCATAAAGATAGTAGTGACACACACACACACTTATATATATATATATATATATATATATATATATATATATATATATATATATATATATATATATATTTGGTTTTTTTTTACGAAATAAAACCACTGGGTCATTTAATAATATATATATATATATATATATATTTTGTTTTTTACAGCATATAAACCCAGTGGGTCATTTAATATATATATATATATATATATATATATATATATATATATATATATATATATATATATAGTTGAAGTTAGTTAGTTTATGAAAAACTAGGTAATCCGTATGGGTAAACCTAAGGAGGATAAACCCAGAGAGCTCAATGTAAATCCAGAGCTAATAATTCAAATTAAAACAGACCACTGTCTATATATATATATATATATATATATATATATATATATATTAAATGACCCACTGGGTTTATATGCTGTATAATGTCAAAATTGTACTAAAGTCAAGATTGTACTAAAGTCAAGATTGTACTAATATCATGATTGTACTAATGTCAAGATTGTACTAAAGTCAAGATTGGATTAAATTAGAAGTCAATATATAAAAAAAAAAAGTCTTAATTTCACCGTTGAATTTAAAATTACAAATTACAAATGTCGTATTCTAAATTTAATCAAGCATCAAATTTAATATTATTTCAAAATTAAACTAAATCCGTAATAAGCAATCTTTTGTGTTTTTCTTTATCACTCTTCAGTCTGTTCGTTATGATAAGAAAAAAATTACCGAATTTATTGGAGAGGGCCTCCGACTCAACACAGAGGCCTACATCAAGTGCCTTGAGGAGTTAGTGCTGTCCTGAGACTAGAAGACCCTATGTCTGTCAACAGGACTCTGCACCATGCCTCACTTGCAGGAGAACCTTGGCTGTCAGACAATTTCTGCGACGATATAACCCCTTACATTTGACAACCTAACTCCCCAGACTTCAAACCTCTTGATTATTATCTGGGTGCCGCAGTTGAGCGAGAGACCTTGTAACACCAAGCATGAACTTAAGGCAAAGATTATGGCACTATTCACTAACTTAAACAGAGAGACCGTACAGAAGAGTTATTGGAAATTCCGAAGTGGTTGAAACCAATGGCGATTTCATTGAATAAAATTATTCTTTAGTATTTCAAGATATTTCTGTGTAATTTTGGTAAATATATTTGTTAAAATGTGTTATTTTCATTTCTGCTTAATTTAGACGACAATGTATCCATCGACCACTGTATATATATATATATATATATATATATAAGATAATCGTAAGGAGCCAGGCAAACCTACCTAGGTTTCACCTAAATGGGTCTTCCGGGTAAAGTCTGGCTCTTACGATTTTAATATATATATATATATATATATATATATATATATATATATATTTAAAATAAATAAATAAATATAAATAAAAAAATCGTAAGGAGCCAGACCCATTTAGGTGAAACCTAGGTAGGTTTGCCTGGCTCCTTACGATTATCTTATATACAACGTCATCCACAGATAGACTGTTTCGCAGCTTATCAGTGCGGCTAGACATCCGGTTGCCTCTAGCTAGGATCGAAACCCGACTTACTTGGCGCACGGTAGGGATGAAGGTGGATTTTAGCGTATTTATTTTTAGAAACACGCCCAGTGACTGACAGTGATTCAATTCATTTTTGCGAAGAGTCTCGCTATATAGCTATAAATAGTCACTGTTTACCAACCCACACCTCCTCCCCAGAGAGCTCAACTGAAATTAATTTTTCAGGAGCCAATATATATCCATATATATATATATATATATATATATATATATATATATATATTTCAGGAGCCAATATATATATATATATATATATATATATATATATATATATATATATGATTAATGTGAGTAAATTTTGTCACTTAGCTGACTGATGTTACCTTCATTATCCCGACTATAGAGTGGGAGAGCATGATTGTCAATCTGAAAAACGCCAGCTCTACCCGCTGAAGTCACTTGCATTAGGACGCTGTGTTGAATCTGAGATGTATGGAGTCATAACGTCACCATCACTAGTGACCACTCTAAACATATTCGTAATCACCATTAGACTCATCCAATTCTTTCCGAATTCTCTGCACTGTCCTCAGATTGACACACAAACACACTGAAATCTTCGTATTGAAGCTTCCGGTGCGAATGCCAAGCAGTGTAGCATGCCGTTTTCCAAAGTGAATTGCGTCCTGGTGCTTTTTCCCACTGACGATACCCAAATGACCCTACAGTACAATCGGCAAAATCATACAGAACAGCGTGCATGCGCGAAAATGAAAATATAAAAGGCGACAATTTACCCATCGCGCCCTATATACATATATACGGTGGTGTAGTGGATATCGGCTTGGATTGAGGAATCGGAGAGCCGAGTTCGAATTCCAGTCGAATCTATTACATTCACTTACGTGCTAATATCCTTGGGAAAAATATGAACCCTCTTCTTCTCCCTCCAACTATGGGTAAATAGCAAGACAGACTGGGTTCTGATCTAGAAGGACAACTCTGAATTCAAAACCTGTGGAGGGTCGTTTGGGAACCTTGTGACACGAAGTGCACCAGGTCTCTGTATTCGGCCCTTCAAAAAGTGTGGATGGTTCTGCTAAAAGCCTTCACCACTATAATTAAATCATATGTGCTGGTGTCTGGGTTGTCAGTTCCTAGGAACGGAGCTGCTTGACTCTCAGACGTCGAATACGACGGGAGAGTCCACCCCACCCCACACACACACATATATATATATATATATATATATATAATTCTCAGACAATACTGTTTCGCTCTATCTCATCTCCTCAGTGCGAGTAGACATCCGAATGCCTCCAGGCTGGATCGAAACCCAACCGATTTGGTGTCAGTCAGAGTTCCTATCACTGAGCTATCTTCATTCGACAGAGAGAAACAGCTTAATGTAGCTTATTGTTTTTACGAATGTAAAACAACAGCCAATCAGCCGGAGTGCTCCAATTCATTTTACTGAAGAGCTTTGCATTAACGCAGGTGGCTGTTGTTTATATTATTATCTGTTAATTATTAATTAATTATGTTGTTAATTACTTCCCGGTATACATTATTAGTAGTGGTCGGACAGTGTATAATACAGGCATGATGGAAACGCCGAAGGATTACCATTACCTGGGAAAAAGAAAAAGAAAAAAAATACCAGGAAAAAATCAAAGTGTGTCTTAAAGGTTTTGGTATTCCATACTTTTGATATCTGTATCTAAAAATGCTTTTGCAATTCCCATCCAATTAACGTTGTAAACAACTCCTTACAACAATACATATAATCAACTCCAAATTCTATACAAGACTCAATTGAGAATGATATTCTCCTGTGTCTATAAAATGGTTCCCAGAATTAATTTACTTATTGAAAACAGCCAAGCTCAACTATCTCATTAATAAATAAAGAATTCGGGAATGGAGAATTTCGAAACTATTTTCAATGTATTTCTCCTCTTCGGACAGGGCTACAGATTTTAAGGACACTTAAATAAAAGTCTATGATTACTCCGGATTTTATTTTATTACTTTGATGGGAGTAGAAGATCGTTATTGGTAAGATGAATTTGAAGAATTTTTTAATAATTCAATGAACAAAGATCTTTTTTTCTTCTTTAAATCTCTCTCCTACCAAATATTTGTTGTTCCATGGCAAAATCAATCTTGTGTTTTAAAAACATGCGCGGAAAGTCTTTTGCTTTTCCCCGTCCATTGACCGTTGGAAACAAAGTTTTTCAGTGATGTGTAGGATCAAAAACCAAATTCAACGCAAAACTGTCAATTAAAATTGATAAAAATTTGTGAGTCTCTCCGAAATGGTTTCCAGGATTCGGTTAATTAAATGTGCAACTGCGTATTAAATAAAATAACATTTCTAATAACATTTTAATCTAGTCTAAGAGAGAGAGAGAGAGAGAGAGTAATAGAGAGGGGAGAGAGAAAGAGAGAGAGAGTGAGAAAGAGAGAGAGAGAGAGAGAGTGTAATTATTTATTAAACAAAATTATAAGCATTCTTCTGGTAATATTTCTATTCTAAGACGGAGCAAGAGAGAGAGAGAGAGAGAGAGAGAGAGAGAAAGAGAAAAAGAGAAAGAAAGAAAGAGGGGGAGAGAGAGAAAAAAGAGATAGAGAAATATGCCTCTTATAAGCAACAAAACACGGTATAAACAAATACTAATTATGTTATCTATTCTCTATGTCTCTATATATTTCATACACTATTCTTCTGATAATATTTTAATCTACTCTGAGACAGAGCGAGAGAGAGAGAGAGAGCGAGAAACAGAGAGAGGGAGAGAAAGAGAGAGAGAGTGATAAAGAGAGAGAGAGAGAGAGAGAGAAAGAGAGTAATTGAATAAATATGTATAAGCAAAATCTGATAATATTGCAATATATTGTGAGAAACAGAACTAGAGAGAGAGAGAGAGAGAGAGAGAGAGAGAGAGAGAGAGAGAGAGAAAGAAGTAAGAAATGAGATAAATAGATAGAAAGAGATAGAGTGAGCTAGTAAATGAGAGAGAAAGAGAAATAGAAAAAGAGAGAAAGAGATAGAGATAGAGAGGGGAGAGAGAAGAGATAGTGAGAAAATGAGATAGTGAAAGAGAGAGAGGGAGAGAGAGAAAGAAGTAAGAAAAGAGTTTGAAACAGATAGAGAGAGCTAGTAAATGAAAAAGAGAAAGAGAAATAGAAAAAGAGAGAAAGAGAAAGAGATAGAGAGGGGGAGAGAGAAGAGATAGTGAGACAATGAGACAGTGAAAAAGAGAGAGGAGAGAGAGAAAGAAGTAAGAAAGAGATAAAGAGATTGAAACAGATAGATAGAGCTAGTAAATGAGAGAGAAAGAGAAATAGAAAAAGAGAGAAAGAGAAAGAGATAGAGAGGGGGAGAGAGAAGAGATAGTGAGACAATGAGACAGTGAAAGAGAGAGAGAGGGAGAGAGAGAAAGAAGTAAGAAAAGAGATAAAGAGATTGAAACAGATAGATAGAGCTAGTAAATGAGAGAGAAAGAGAAATAGAAAAAGAGAGAAAGAGAAAGAGATAGAGAGGGGGGAGAGAGAAGAGATAGTGAGAAAATGAGATAGTGAAAGAGAGAGAGAGGGAGAGGGAGAAAGAAGTAAGAAAAGAGATAAAGAGATTGAAACAGATAGATAGAGCTAGTAAATGAGAGAGAAAGAGAAATAGAAAAAGAGAGAAAGAGAAAGAGATAGAGAGGGGGAGAGAGAAGAGATAGTGAGAAAATGAGATAGTGAAAGAGAGAGAGAGGGAGAGAGAGGGGAGGGGGAGGGAGAGAGAAATATGCATCTTATAAGCCGGAATGTATGGTATAAACAATTACTCGTCGTTGGTTTTATCTCATGTCCAAGAATTTAATTTCGTCTTTGCTGATCGCTTTCTTTATGATGATGGCATTGATGACTGAATTCGTCGCCAACGTGCAATTTCAGGACTAGAAAGCTTCAAGTTTTCCCCCAAATCAGCTCCCATCATCCATTCCTTGTGAACGTTTGGCTTTTACAATGGTTTGGTTGGAGCTGAAACAAAATCAGAGGAGAAGAAAGTGCCGATGGCGGAAATTTGTTTAATCGGGACCTCAACTTGACAGGAAGGCAAAGAGATAGAAAGAGTCAAAGAGATAAAGAGAGTAAAAAAGATAGTGAGTAGCAAAGAGAGAGAGAGAGAGAGAGAGAGAGAGAGTCAAAGAGATAGAAAGAGTCAAAGACTAAGAGTGTCAGAGAGACAGAAAGAAAAAGTGATAGAGAAAGTCAAAGAGATAGAAAGGGTCAAAGAGATAAAGAGTAAAAGATAGTGAGTAAAAGAGAGAGAGAGAGAGAGAGAGAGAGAGAGTCAAAGAAATAAAAGAGTCAAAGACATAAAGACAGTCTGAGAGATAGAAAGAGTTAAAGAGATAAAGAGAGTCAGAGAGATAGAAAGGGTCAAAGAGATAAAGAGAGTCAAAAAGATAGTGAGTAGCAAAGAGAGAGAGAGAGAGAGAGAGAGTCAAAGAAATAAAAAGAGTCAAAGACATAAAGACAGTCAGAGAGATAGAAAGAGTTAAAGAGATAAAGAGAGTCAGAGAGATAGAAAGGGTCAAAGAGATAAAGAGAGTCAAAAAGATAGTGAGTAAAAAAGAGAGAGAGAGAGAGAGAGAGAGAGAGAGAGTCAAAGAAATAAAAAGAGTCAAAGACATAAAGACAGTCAGAGAGATAGAAAGAGTTAAAGAGATAAAGAGAGTCAGAGAGATAGAAAGGGTCAAAGAGATAAAGAGAGTCAAAAAGATAGTGAAAAAGAGAGAGAGAGAGAGAGAGAGAGAGAGAGTCAAAAGAAATAAAAAGAGTCAAAGACATAAAGACAGTCAGAGAGATAGAAAGAGTTAAAAAGAGATAAAAGAGAGTCAGAGAGATAGAAAGGGTCAAAGAGATAAAGAGAGTCAAAAGATAGTGAGAAAGCAAAAGAGAGAGAGAGAGAGAGAGAGAGAGAGTCAAAGAAATAAAAAGAGTCAAAGACATAAAGACAGTCAGAGAGATAGAAAGAGTTAAAGAGATAAAGAGAGTCAGAGAGATAGAAAGGGTCAAAGAGATAAAGAGAGTCAAAAAGATAGTGAGTAGCAAAGAGAGAGAGAGAGAGAGAGAGAGAGAGAGAGAGTCAAAGAAATAAAAAGAGTCAAAGACATAAAGACAGTCAGAGAGATAGAAAGAGTTAAAGAGATAAAGAGAGTCAGAGAGATAGAAAGGGTCAAAGAGATAAAGAGAGTCAAAAAGATAGTGAGTGCCAAAGAGATAGAGAGAGAGTCAATGAGATATAATGGGTCAAAGACATAAAGACAGTCAGAGAGATAGAAAGAGTCAAAGAGATAAAGAGGGATAGATAGATAGATAGATAGATAGATAGATAGATAGATAAGAGAGAGAGAGAGAGAGAGAGAGAGAGAGAGGGAGAGTGTGAGAATTATGCATCTTATAAGCACCAAAATACAGTATAAGAAATTTATAATCTATTTATTTTTATTATTTTATTTAATTTTTGTTTTTTATTTAATTTTTAAAATAATAAGACAAGATAAATAATACTAAAAAAGAAATGAATCGTATTCTTTTCGTTCCCATTAAATGTTGAACATGACGTCACCCTAGGCATTTCAAACGTCCAGCTTCCAAAACAATACCAGGATGTAAACTTTAGACAAGTTTTGTCAATTTATTTTAAGTAAGTTCCTTTCATATTGTCTGATAAGCTTAATCACATTATCGTTGAAAGACGAAAGGAAATCACCATATTGATACATATTTAAATCTAATCAAAGCTTTCGGCTTATATAAGCCATTATCAAAGATGACAATTTCAATATATCAAACAACACACGGACGAAACAATAATGATAGTCCGCCCTTGCTGCATGAAAATAAAATAAATAGACAAAACTTGTCTATATTATTTAATGAAACATGCATTAATGAAAAATTGCTGCCTAAATATACACAATATATATATATATATATATATATATATATATATATATATGCATGTGTGTATGTATGTGCGTGTGTGTGTGTGTGTCTGTGCATCCTTATTCTATCTGAAGATAATGATATATTTAGTTATGGTAAAAGTGGGGAATTATTCGATGTCTATCTGTGAATATTCCCCGTTTATCAACTTAACAGCAGATTATAACATTATTTAGTAGGGGAGATCAGGTTGCTTATAAATTACTTTCTATTTCTTTTGGTTCTTGTGAGCATTGGCCAGTTTAACATCTAATGAATTGAAAAGAAGAACTCTTACTTATATGCGACGCTACATACAAAAAATGACAAATTCAAAAAATATGACCAAAGATGCAAAAACAAAATGAATTGCATGGATGAAAATTGGAGATAATTTATTTCGAAAATATTAATGCGAAATTTCTCATATATCCTAGTCAATTCTTTAGGTTATGATCGAGTTACCTTTAGTTATTTGTACTTTTAATAATATGAAATTTTTAGGCTGGTCTGACATTAATAAAGATGGAGTCAGGTAATTTCCAGATGGAAATATGAAGTTAGCTGAAAGATAGCCGAAGATTGGAACAGAATGCTGATATCTTAAATTATTTCCGTATAATAAGCACCGATGAATTGGACAACAAAATTCTCAGAAAAAACATATCGGGTATAATAAGTATTTTTATATATTTCATAATTTAGAGAAAAAAAATTGAACTAGGTGTATTATTTCTTGAAAATTCCGGTTCGTTTAGGCTAAAAACAAGAATCTCTTCAGTTTACAAATTTACAGAATAGATAAATTGCATGGCCAAGGTCTCAGCACAGATGGACTCATGCACATAGATGATATTCTATCATTAATCACGTTCACACGGACACAAAGTTGCAAATTATCGCTATTTCCATGATAATTGTTCAGCTGAGGCCCACCGTTTCAGACCTTTACAGCTAAGCCTCTCTCTACTCTATCGTTATTTCCATGGAAAATGTTCAGATGAGTTCCATTCCTTAGTTCCACCAGTTCAGACCTTTACAGCTAAGCCGCTCTCTATTCGCTGGTTATTTCCAAGGAAAATTTTCAGATGAGCGCTCAATTCCTTAGTTCCACTAATCCAGACCTTTATATCTAGGACACGCCAAGATACATTAAAAGTGTAGATTTAATCTACATTTGTTGGAACTTTTTTTCCGATTCCTAAAGCTATTTCGCATTCTTTGGATATTTTTACTCTTAATAATCCTCAAGTCGAAATTCTTTCTTATATGCGATAAGTTAGCATTCTTTTGATATTTTTAATTTTAATGATTTAAAACAATGAATTTACTTTGACATTTGTAAAAAAGTGTTGTTTGCTTGTAAACACTTACCGACGTACTTCGATGAAGTAGTGAGCTCGATCTTCACTGGGCGCTCTATACTTTCGGCCTTGTGTCACATCTAATCTACGCTTTGTCGCTATGGGCAACACCTGCAGGAACTATAATCAACGCAATTGCAAATTTATTTAAATATGGCCGTCATCTTTTCATGATACGGGTTAGGATACAAGTCACAGGAAGTGTTTCTTTGCATATCGATGGCACGATATATAAATTACGCAAGTGAATAATATATACATGATTTCCATCTAATTATATCTGTAATAGCCGAAATTTTTTGGGCGGGGGTGCGGGAGTTGCTATCAATTTTCTTTGAGGATCGAAGATTTTTGTTTAAAATGATTTCACTTTCGACATCATCTCCATTGCACCAACTCCATAAATCTTTAATTTAATTTACTGATTGTTCTGCTCAGTCGAAATGAGGAAATTCCTGGAACGCATAATGTGGAAAGAAGGCTTGGCGAATTCATAGAACATACCGAAATGTAGAAAGACAAAAGGAAGTGGCGAGTAACTTGGCGATCTTGTGTAGATCGACAGCAGAACGGGGATTGGTTAAGATGGTGAACGGATAAATCTTATTAAGCGCTACAAAAGCTATGATATTCGTGTAGGGCTATGATCCCCCCTCCTCTGCCCTGAAGGAAAGCGGCACAAAGAAGAAGAAGAAGAAGAAGAAGATGCTCATCATCTGACTATTGTTACGTTCAGCTGCTTGATTAACTTCGCCAATGACACATCGTCATCACTGCAAACAACTACATCAGCCTTATTACTCTTGTACGACGAGACGTACTATTGAAACGTTAATGACATCCACTGCACCTTAAACATCTCCGACGATAAACAGCCCAGAATCGTCGATCAGGATTCACCGAATATTTGTTTACGGAGTTAAACTTAGTAACTATATTTGGAGTTATATTTAAACAAAATTGCCGCCATTAATAGACTATCCTTTCTTTCCCGGCTTTTTTTAAGCCATTATTATTATTATTATTATTATTATAGACTATCCTTTCTTTCCCGGCTTTTTTTAGCCATTATTATTATTATTATTATTATTATCATTATTATTATTATTATTATTATTATTATAGACTATCCTTTCTTTCCCGGCTTTTTTTATTATTAATATTATTATCATTATTATTATTATTATTATTATTATTATTATTATTATTATTATCATCATCATCATTCGATTTTATTATTGGACACACTATTTCCTACCAAGTCTGCGGAAAGACCTAAGGCAGGTCGTGGTGTGTTGTTATGGCCACATTTCATGTTAATTTTTTTTTTTTTTTTTTTTATCTCCGATGAAGTTGCTAGCGTTACATAGACAAAGTTCTCCTTAGTGTGTGTGCTGTACTTAATAAGACAATTTTCTGTATGTCTCTTAAGCTGGGGTTTCAGGGATTCTTTCAATGTGTTGTTTTGTTCCATTTTTTATAATTCCAAGTGCACCTATTACCACTGGTATTATTCTTGTTTTCAATTTCATTTTTTTTTCTATTTCAATTTCCAGGTCTTTGTATTTTGATAGTTTTTCAAATTCCTTGGTTGCTATGTTACAATCCGCTGGACAAAGCCATATCAATTAGTAGGCAAGTTTTTTCTTTCTGGTTTTTGACAACAATGTCCGGCCTATTTGCTTCAATTTTTCTGTCTGTGTGTTTGTTCCTATGGCAGATTTTTCGACCTCAGGTAGGTTCCCTCCTGAAGGACGGGCTCCCTGTTTATCCACTGGAAGAGCCATACTGGACGTTTTGTTTCTATTTTTAATTTTCATATTAATCCCACGAGTGACGCACGGGTCCAAAAGTCCACCCAAAGTTGCCCGGCACGTTGAGTAACGGTCTTTTTACAGACAGGGTTCCGAAGCCTGTAGGGGATCGTTCGCGACCTCATAACGCAGTAGCCATTCACTCCTCGGCACGATTAACACCTTGAGTTGCGGGTTGTTGTTCGGAGTTTTCCTTCTCCTAAATGGGTTGCAAGCAACAATAGACAGAGACACGATTGGAAATCAAAGAGAATGACTGGTAAAAAAAAAAAAAAAAAAAAAAAAAAAGTTTACATTCGTTTGTCTTTGCTGTGAAATTTAAAAATAATTTATTGGCCCATCTGTAAATTCCACGATATTCCTTCTTAGAAAGATTGCATTTTCTTTTCATAAATTCATAAAATGTAATATGTAAATGTAAATTCCGTTATTTTTAAAGTCGTTGAAAATAGCGTTGTTTAAAAAAAAAAAAATGCAATCCTTCTAAGAAAGAACATCGTAGAAATTGTATTGTTTTTACCTGTAATGTTTTTTTTGGGTGGATATTGAAAACTAAAGGGATATGTGAATGAGAAAAATTAAATAATTGATTAATCTATCAGTATTATTTAAAGGAGAACCAAATAAATTAAATAATAATAATACGAAGAAAAATTCATGCTTACGCTAAAATAGTAAAAATAACAAAATTTCATATGCGTTAAAAAAAAACTTGGAAGAAACAGCCGCTCAACGAAACAAAACATCACTACACTAGAGAGTATTTATATTAAATTTTAATTTTTTTTTTTTTTTCCCCATCACTAGTCCTAGTAACAAAAATAATTGTCATAAAAAAAATTAA